GAAATATCATTCAGCCTTAAATAGAAGTAAAGGCCAATACATAATTCCCACATAGGTGAGTCCTCAAGACATTTTGTTAAGTGACATAAGCCTGTCACAAAAAGACAAATATTGTGTGCTTCCACTTGTATAAGGTTCCTAGAGGAGTCAAATTTAGAAAGACTAAAAGCAGAATGGTATTTTCCAGGAGCTAGAAAACACATCTACTGCTTGATGGGTGCAGTATGGGGTTGGGCAAGGGCTCTAGGGATGGACAGTGATGGTGGTTGGGCGACATGTATGTGCTGAATGCCCCTGAACTGTACACTTGTTGTGTAAGTAATTTGGCCATTATTCTGATTATTGAATCATATTTGTGCTTATCCTTCTTATTCCAATGATTTGAGAATCAACTATGGACTTTTTCTACTTGTGAACCAAGCTGAACTGGCAAAGCCTTAGTAAAGGTGCCTGTTACAAGCCCTGAAAAGGAGAGCACAGGGCAAAAACAGAGGTTGGCAACCTTTTACTGTAAACAGCCAGATAAAAAGGCTGTCTCCTTGTTCTGGGAAAGGTGTTGTCAGGTGACTTCGCCATCAGCTGATCTGCTGTTGTGCAAACATTATGGCGTGTGGCCACACAAACAGCGCAGCCCGTGAACCCTTCAGCAATCTGCTTTTGTCCATTGTTTCAAGGCCATGAACTTGTGCAGTGTGTTCTGTACCCAACATCGTGCCCAGCTGTACCACAGTGGTAAATATCTGTGGATCAAAATAGGACTGAACATAGAAAAGGTAGATTAAAATATTAGGCGATAAAAGTGTTTCCAGCTCCACTGTAACCTTATGGGATCACTGTCACAAATGTGGTCTGACCTTGACTAACAAAATTCCTGTACCTGCATCTTCATTTTAGGCTTTGTAGACCACATTAGGCACTTTGAATGTTTCCCCTGTTTGTCTTTAAACATTACTATAAAAACATTAAAAACCTTTCTTATCTTGTGGAGTTGTCCAAAAAACAGTTTGTTTTTCCTTCTATGAATACATGTGTGGTATGTAATACTTTTATCAGTGGAGAGTAGTACACATACACATTTCATCTCAATCCTTTTTACTTCCCTTCCCTCAAGCCATATTTGGTTTACAAGCTGTAATTTGCTGATCTCTGGTAGATTGTAAGGCCACAGCTCCTAGCCAGATGTGGGCATCTGATTAAGATGAGCTAAATTTGAGGGCAGCCAGTAACCTCTGTCCAGGTCTAATTCAAGCGGCACGAGTTTTAATCCTTTTATTTCCTAAAGCTCTTACAAGGAAGATTTAGAACTGAGCAACACTGGGAGAAACAAAGTGGGTCCTCAGGGAGAATGAAAGAGGCCTGTCCCTGGGAAGGTCTTCCCCTGGCGTAGCCTCAGTTCCAAGCCAAGAATATGTATAAAATAAACCACTCTCTTGTGGAAATTTATGTGTTCCTTATAATCAGAAAAATTAAATTACCTTCATCCACTACAAAAGTAAATTGCTACAAACACTTTGGAAGACAGTCTGACAACACCTAGTAAAGTTAAATGTGGGCTAGGAGTGAGCCAGCATTTCACTGTGGGGGTTTGTCTTGAGAAACTGGTGTGCTCCAGATCTACAAGTGTGTTCACAGCACACAGCTGGTTGCTTGCAGCCAAGCCTGTTAACCTGATAAAAACTCAGCGCTGCCACTTGCGCAGCTGGGTGACCTCAGAAAAAGGCCCCGTTTTCATCATCCATGAGGTTGTTGTGGTGATTAACGGAGTTAATTGTGTAGTATTCTGGGCATACATCAAGTAATACATATTTTAGCTCTGGTCATATAACTCATTATTGGGGCTGGCAAGATAGCTCAGTGGACTAAAGCGCCTGCTTAGGCAAGCGCAGGGACCACAGCTCCATCCCTGGCACCACATGTGGTGCCAGCTCTGCCCTTAGGGCAGGCTGAGCCGGCTAGAGTCTGGAGTGTAGTGGTGCACACCTGTAATCCCAGCACTGGGGAAGCTGGAAACAGGAGGATCACTATGAGTCAGAGCTGCGTAATGAGACCCTGTACAAAATACATTAAAAAACCAAACCAAAACAAAACCATATTATTACACCTGCAGCATTCATAGGAGTCAAAAACAGAAACACCTCCAACTTCTACCAACAGAGGATGGGTGATAAATTGTGGCATATTCACAGAGGAATGTGGTACTAGCACAGGCACTGGTCTTGGAAACATGAAGTATTTGCATACCCACATTGAAGAGAAAACTGCAGGTGTGAAAGAATATGTGTAAAGAATATGTGTAATACTCTAGGCAAATTAATGTTGTCACATAGGCAAAATTAATTCCATATACAAAGTATACATCTTCAGACACATACCCAGGTAGCAAAAGGATATAGAACAACAATGGAATGGTAAAGAAGTAAAACTCAGGATAATAGGCAGGAAGATAGGGTTGGGAAAGTTTTTTTTAAGCAAACTTTGAAAGTTTTTGAAGTTCATAAATTGGGTGGTAAGTTCATGGGTATTATGATGTCATTAACAATTAACTTCAGGGGGCCTGGCCCTAGCTCAGGCCTTTAAGTGGCTGCTTCCACAAAGCTGTCAGCCTCAGGTTGCTGGAGTTCGAACCTCACACCTCTCCCGCTG